TTTTAGATGTTCGCCTAGGTTTGAGCCGAGTCGCCCAATAGTTAGGTGGTGCAAGTGCACCTTGGACGATACTTGATTACTTAACTCGCTTATATGAGTTTTGTGTTTGTAGGGCAATTAAACTGCATGGGCAAACTCTTTTATTGATAGAAGGGTATGCAAGTTCCCAGAGCATTTACATTAAATAATTATGAATTTCTATTGTTTTTGGCTTTCTTATACTATAAGTCGCTCATTCAGAAATAGTAAGAGAAAATGACATGGGAGAGATGGGGCTTTTCTCATTGCACTTAATAGGAATTGATAAATAAGAAATACAAGTATGAGGACTCTCCTATGTGTGAAAAATCTTGAGGTTGTTGGAACTCTAAGTCCTTGGTACTTTCTTTCTAGAGTGTCTGTAATCGGTTAGCTCCTAGTCCGACTTGTCTCTTAATGATGTAGGGACTTTCCCACGTTGTCACCAACTTGTCGAGTACAAAATCGAGAGTAGTAGCATCTATTTTTCTTAGAAACAGGTCGTCAAGTTGTAGTACTTGGTCATTCTTTTCTCCACTTCTTGCCAGATGGCTGCTTGTGTCTTGACTTTCTCCAAAAGGTCGGATGCTATTTCCAAGCTCTCGCCTCCCACTCATCAAGTTTGCTCTCTTTATGATTGGCAGCGGCGACTACTCTTTAGTTGTACAATTTGAGCTTGACAGGTAGCAATGCATTGACCCTATGGGAGAGTGAGAAAGATGTTTGACTAGTGGATGAAGAAGGACTCATCCTTACCGCCTATAAACTAAAGGAAGTGCCTCTATGCACTCACCTTTTGCTACTTGTACCATCTTCCTCAAAAGGTTCAAGCTCTATTTGTTGATTGGCTCCTTTGACTTGCCCATTAGTTTGTGGGTGGTAGACTAAGGTAAATTTCAGGCAAAGTCCATATAATTGAAAGAATTGCTTTAAGCTTTTGTTGGAGAACTATGCCTCATTTTCTGTGATGATGGTGAGTGGCACATCATATCTGCAAATGATGTTAGTCCATATGAAATTTCTAACAATTGTGAAGCTTGTCTTGGCGAGTGTGTTGGCTTCAATACACTTAGTGAAGTAGTCTACCATGACCAATAGGAACTTCCTCTACCCAGTGAAAAGTGGGAATGGTCTAAGAAGGACAATTTTCTAAACTACAAATGGCCATGGGCTTCATCTTGTGATGGAGTTGTAAATGCATAGGGGCGAATATTTTATATTGGAGGCATCTTCTTAAGAATTCTTTTGCATATTTCCTATGGGTTGGCCAGAAGTAGCCCCACCTTAAAATTCTATGGGTGAATATTCTTTCTCCAGAGTGACTATCAAATTCGCTGGAGTGGACTACCACTATGTTTATCACCCTTGTCTTCAAGTACACCATGATTGGATCTATCCACCTTACCGACTGACTAACCCTCAATTGGATGATTTTTTTTTCAAGCGTAGGCCACATGATCTTCACTACTGGTCATCCATCAGGGTTCACTTGTTTCGAGAGGAGGTCGGCAAGTAGTTCTACTCTGAGAATTTGAGTTATTTTGAAGTACTCCAGCTTATTAATTTCTTCCTTTACCATAAAAAGGTACTTCAAGAGCAGCTCACCCTCTTTCTTCATACTCTTCATTTTTATGATTCACTATTAATTTTTAAGCCAGAGGACACAATCATTTGAGTCGCTACCATTCCTTTTTTTTTGGAGTTGCTACCAATCTTTTATTATTATTATTATTTTTTTTTTTGAGTCGCTACCAATCTTGCGGTGAGTTGTAAGTAATGATTAGGGCTTCATATTTAGCTTCATTATTTGTAACTTTGAATTTTATACTAGTTACATTCATGATAATGAGCCATATGGGATTCATTAGAGCTATACCCACGCCAACGCCTTGCTTGTTTGAGCATCCGTCGGCATAGAAAGTCTAGTGTCGCAATAGTGATGCCGCCTCTAACTTGTCACTTTGACTATTGAAGTTGACTAGGAAGTCAGCAAGTGTTTAGGCCTTGATGGTTGTCCTTGTTGAGTTGGTTATTTATAAGTTGCTCTGGTTCACTGACCATTTGAGTATTCTTCCTTAGTGGTCAGGTTTAGCAAGTATTGCCTTCAATGGGTGATCAGTCACCACATGAATTTTGTGTTCTTGGAAGTATGTTCACAGTTGCTTCACCCAAGTCACCAGTGCCCATGCGAACCTCTCTATGATTGAATAACTTTGTTTTGCACCTTTGACTGTCATGCTCACATTGTACACTAGTCATTGCTTCTTACCCTCTTCTCTAACAAGTACGTTGTTAATGGCATCCTAGCCCTAAATACAATAGAAAATCCTCTCCTAGAATTGGGCTTTAGAGTTGGGGTGGCGAGGAGAGAAAAAGCTTTAGCTGTTGAAAGGTGACTTTACAGTCCTCGCCTCAAGAGAACTATTTTTCATTATTGAGGATCTTAAAGATTGGCAAGCACATTTCTCCGAGTTGAGAGATGAAATGATTGAGCTTAATGACTCGCTTAGTAAGTCACTGCACCTTTTGCTATGCTAGGCAATCTACCATCGAGTTCACCTTGTCAGGGTTCATTTTGATGCTTTATAGGGTGAGGGGGAAGCCCATGAAATATTTCGAACTTGCGTCAAAAATATACTTAGTGGATTCACTTGCTTGTTGTACCTCTTGAGGGTGACAATTGTATCTTTTAGATCTTTGGTGTATTGGTTGGGCGATTTGCTTTTCACTGATAGATCTTCTACATATATCTCATTGTTCCTCCCCTTTTACTTTATAAGGATCTTGTCCACCATCCATTTGATATATTGCTCTTATATTCTCCCAAATGACTTTTTTTTTATGTTTTGTGCTTCCACTATTCATTAACCATTGTGATATGTTTATTACTTAATCTTCTAACATCTTATGCCAAAATTCTTTTTAGTTCTTCTATGTATCTCAAATTCAGATGTACCTCAACTTTATGTGCAGCTACTTAATTCTCATAATCAGATACTCATTTCCTCAGAGATGATACATAAAATATATTTTAATGTCAAATATATGCTTTGTTAATTGTAATTTCAAGAAGACTTTCCAATTCTTTCAATAATCTCAAATAGTCCAATATACCTAAGCATCAACTTTTCTTCATTTTCATATCTGCTTACATCTTTCATAGGTCTGATCTTTTCATACACAAAATATCCAACATGAAATTCTATAGCTATGTGCTTTGCATCATATTACTATTTCTATCTATCTTGCAAATCCTGATGACATGGTGAAGCAGAAAAAATGTCCATTTAACGAAGAGATGAATGTTGTTAAAAAGGAAATGAGGTGTAGGGCAATTCAAGGGTTCTGTAGATGGATGTATAATTTTGGGATTCCATTCAATATAGTGAAATATGACAACTTTCTTGTTGTGGTCGAGGCATTTGGACAATTTAGACCAAGGATGAAACCTGTAGCTATCATGAGGTACAGGGTTACTTGTTTGAATAAAAAGATTGTGCATACATATGAACTATTACGATGTCATTAAGAAGATTGAGTATGATACGGTTGTTCTTTCACGGAGGATGGATGGACATCGAGGAATGGGAAAAAAATAATTAATATTCTTAGGAATTGTCCAAGAGGCACTGCATTCATAGAATCAATAGATGTTTGTTCATTCTCAAAGAATGTTATGAAGATGTTCAAACTATTTTACAAGTTACATCGAGTTTATTGGTTCACATTGTGTGATTCAAGTTGTTATTGATAATGCATTTGAAAATGTCTTATAAACCTATGTTATTTCATATAAGAATGATTTTTTTTTTCCTTGCAATAATTTCTGTAATGGATTTAAGAAATAGCTATTTTGGTAACGTGGAATTTAAGCATTTTTTTTAACTGAGCAACTCACCTAGTCACTGTGCAAGTTTGCTCATTTAAATTATTTATTTATTTTCTTAAAAACGGCCTGCAGCAATTGTTATTTTTTTAATATATATATATATATATATAAACCGAGCAACTTGTCTAGTCAATGGGTAAGTTTAGTCATATAGTTTTTTTTAATTAAAAAAAAAAAATCTAGCCATTTATTATTTAGTTGGTTTTAGTCTTTCTTAATACTACAACATGAGTTAAATAATCAGGTTCCAATTTTAAATCTATCCCACTTCGAGGATTTTAAATCGGAACTATATAATATTATATAGTTACTGAAATGTTTAATTCCAAGCATTAATATTATATAGTTACTTATTGATGCATTAATATTAATATTGGAACTATATAATATTATATAGTTACTGAACTATATAAAATTGGAAATATACAATATTTTCTTATAACCCAAGCTCATGTAACTATATAATATTAATGCATCAATAGGAATATGCCATTATTGATAACCAAATAAGAATTAAACATTTAAGCAATAATATTTGTTATTTTTTTTTTCCTATAGTGGGATATAAGTCATGCATTTCAGATCTCTTGAAAAAACAACCTCAGCTTTGATCCTGCATTCGAATTGAAGCAATGCTGCTCCTATGGTCCATCAGTACACATCATGTTTCATTTCATAGCTCGGGCATGTCATGGGATAATCGACAATGAGGTTGCAGTGAGATGCGATTATCTCTTGAAAAGTGATCAAAGTTATCTTATCTAAGCTGGGTTTGCAAGACGCTTTATAGAACATTAGTTTTGCTGAAACATAAGATTATTTTAAGATTGATTCATCTGATTGCAACTTTAATATCCTTAGCCATTGTTGAAATGGTCCTTTAGAAAAAATGAAATCGATTAAATTTTACCTCTACGTTGGATTAATTAGAAATTATGAACTTTGAACTCTAAAACCCTTCAAATTTATGATTTCATTTTCAGAAAAAAAGGGAATGAAATCAAAACAGTTGCTATTTTAAAACAACCATTGGTTGCATCTTATATCAGAATCTGATCTGTTTGGCTGCATTCATCATATTTTAACTTTGCAGATTGAAATGATATACAAGATAATTGCACACATGGCAGCTAACGACAGAGCTATAATAGCTGAAGGCAACTGTGGGTCGCCTCGAAGCATTAAGGTCTTCCTTGTCGAATGCAATGTGGATGAGTTGTTTTCCTAAAGCTTTCTTCGCTGATATACAGCTTCACGAATGTTGTCATAAGTAACTATTTTCTTAGAATAATTGGGAGATGTTGTCTTCACCCTTTGAGGATTTGGAAGAATAAAGTTACAGCTCATGCTTGTTTATTTTACTTGTCCGGAGATCTTTGCAAGTCTTTAATTATCAAAAGAAAAATATATATACTATGTTTTTATTCATGGATATTGTTAGTAATCGTACACTGTTTTATTATAATGGAATGCTATTTCTGTTGGGTATTGTGCCCTGAAAATTAATTTACTGTTGATTTGTCATCTACAATAACAATTTGTTTTGATGTATATGATAATAAATGTCATTAAAATTTATGATAATTAATAAGGGTCCAATTATCATATAGAGCTCAAACAAGATTAAGGTTTTGTTTGGCACTACTTTCTTTCTGTTTCTTAAAGAATCTTTATAGTACAAAAATTTTAATTTTTGTATTAGAAAGCTACTTTAAAAAACAATGAGAAAGCTATCTGAAGCATAAATTATATCTTATTATTCTATGTTAGTATGAAATATTTATAATTCTATTTTTGTATAAATTCAAACACTTATAATTCTATTTTACTATAAAATATTTAAATTGTATCAATGTGATTATATATGAATTGATCTTCATCTGCAGAAATAAATACTCTTGTTTACAAAGGTAGACATATTCAGTATGGGTTTAATCGTTATTTATTTATAATAGTTTATGAAATTAAGTAGTTAGAAATGTTATAAGATGAAATTTATTCATTCCTTGTGAAATTGGGAAGATAATTCTCGTAACTATTTTTTAGTTTTTTAATAATATGAGTGCTTAATTGTATAATTTATTTATAAACTTATTATTCCTTAGAAAATGAATGGCACTCCGAGAGTAAAAATGTAATTAGAAATGTTAATGAATTTTAGTCTAGCTCTAATTATGAATTATTAATGGAGGATCAATTTAAATATAATGATTATATCAATGAATTAGTTGTTTATCTTGAGTAATTTGTATTTGTTATCCCAACAGTGCAAGTTTTAGTGGAATAAAAATTGATATTATTAAACTGATATGAATATTAAATAATTTAATTAATTCATTTTATTCAAGTTGGAAGTTCTAGGGTAATGGTTTATTCTGTTTTCTATATTCTGCTTTCGAATATTAATAATTAATTAGAGAAAATTTATTGATATAGAGTTATTAAATTTTAAATGTTTTAAAATTCATAATTTTATTAGCATAAATCTATAAAAATTATATTTTTTTAATTATTTTCAATCAAAATATTTTGTTATGAATCTTTCAGTTTTATAGATAATATGATTATCTTGGTATATATTTTAATTATATTTTTATTTCATGAATTCTTATTTTGTACTGAAAAAAAAAGTCTCTTTTTATATATATATATATATATAGTTATTCCGTTTATATATACAGTATTCAGTTAAATGTCTTGTGATGTATTTTGAAGGGATCTTTTTATTTAAAAGAAGATGTACGTAAAAAAGTGTCTTTTACAAATTGCTATTAAACGATTTTTGAATCGGATAATAAAATGAAAATATAAGTGGCATTTAAATTTCAGTAATTCCATTTTATGCCTATTTTTTTAATATTAGAAACCTCATTCCCCACGTAGTGGGATAAAGGCTTGATGTTGTTGTTGTTGTTGTTGTAGAAACCTCATTAGATTATTTTCTTATAAAATTTTTTGCTATGAAAAAGGATTATGTGTTGGTAGTTTAATACAAATAAATAAACAGTGGAGAAATGATTAAAAAATGTTGTGAGGAAGGTTCTATGGTGAAGATGGAATCTCTCCTCTCCATTGAAGGCCATCAAAGAAATTAAGGGATCTTCGAATTTTGGGTTATGCTTGCTCATGGAGATGAGATTCCTCAAGAGTACATGACCATCTCCTAATACTTAAAATTGAGGATCTTCTTTGTTGACTTCATTTTTGTGTGAGGTTATAAACATCAAATCGAATTCAATCCTAAATTAATCCAAATTAGAAATCTCATCCAAAATCTAAAATCAAAATGCTCAAATCCAAACCCAAAACCCCTTTGTCTAAAATTTGAGGTAAAATCAAATCCTCCAAAACCCTGTCAAATGCCTTGGATTCATGATTAGTCAGCTGCATATTGATTAAGTATGTCCCTAGGGTCAACCACATCTATTTGAAAGCATCTCAAGCCTCCAAACCCTCAAAACTAAATGTATTTTCTAAGGCTGTAAAATTTTTTAAATATTTACAGCTTATGACATTGGACCATGCATCTTGTGAAAATTGACCTCTGAAGCCCTCCCAAAATCTTTGAACATGTCTATAGGCAATTTTATATTGCATTGAACCAACATTGACCCTTGGTGGACCATGGTTGACTATGAAACCCTAAAACCGCAAAGCCACTAAAAAATTGAATTTCCTTTAAACTTCAACATGACTCAACCAAATCAAGCTGTGAAACTTCCCCCAACATGTTTCATATATGAAATAGAGTGCATTGAGCCTAACCCCAAGCCATGATCAACCCTTGTTAACCACAATCACCTAAAAACCTAAAAATTTTAAAACTCATAATTTTGATCAAATAAATCAACTAAGTTCATGCGGACATCCCATGGGGTCACCATGAGTCTACTACAAATATTTCAACCCAAGGGTCCACCTGGTTTAGCAAAATTGGCTAAACCAAGTGGACTCAAACTAGTTTTCTTGAGCAAAAATCATGTCTTTAAAAAGTTAAATTGCACCAATAGCTATAGTAGTTTTCCCTTATCCTATTGCATCCCTTATCCTATTGCATTAAACCTATATTAAGTGTTTTGTTAAACATGTATTTCATATTTTACTGGATTTAAAGTCCATTTAGTTAGTTAATTAGAGAACCTAATATTGACACACATAATTGAAATAAAAACTTCAAGAATTTATAATAAATTCAAATTAAAACCAAAAAATATAAATTAAGTGTCAAAATGCTCGGTATTAAAATCTTAACAAATGAAAATTAAAAGCTCCATCACAAACCCCAAAAATAGAAAATAATTTAAAAATCAAGTAAAATTAATAATTAATTAAATTAAATAGTTAAAAATATTAAAAAAACTTCAAAATAATTTTGAACACTTGTAATCATCCCTAGGAGTCATCTTGATATTTGAGGAAAATTTCAAGAGGTTTAGAGTTGATTTGATAAAAAAATAAGAAACCCTCTATAATTAAATAATTTAATAAAATAGTCAAACTTGTAATAATCATAACTAATTACAAAAAACTTCAAATCACTCAAACTCAAAGGCATTAGACTCATCTCTGCATCGAATATTTATAAAAATTATAGAATCCATAGAAATCATTGTAAATCAAAAATTAAATATTAGGTCAAATTTAGTTTATTAAGATATTCTAAACTTGTACAAATCATAACTAATTATAGATAAATTGGACTCGAAGCTTTAAATAACTAATCAAAATATCTTAAATAACCAATCATTAATCAACTTCAATAATTAAAATCTATGATAAATTAAATCTCAAAAAATAAAAAACACTAAAATTTAACTTATCTTTCAACAAACCAAAATCACCCTTAGAAAATGTCAAATAATGACAAACTTAGGACGTATTCAAGCCACACAGCGTCATACACATATTATAAACTTCTTTAAGGTCATTGTTCATTTCATGTGTTTTTCCCTATGATTTGGATTGATGTGGATTTTTTATGTGAATTAATGTTAGTTGCTATAGTTTGATGTGATCTATTTTGTTTATGTTGTAATGCTTATATTTTGATCTTTATGGTGTGATTTGTGATGGGCATTTAGATTTATTTAGGTTAGGTCAATCTAGATGATTATTGCTAATAAAATCTTTTGTAGGTGGTCATACTTATGCATGGCTATAATAAAAGGGAGCTAAATGATCATTAAACTTTAAAGTCAATCCAATTTTATACAGGTGTTTTCATTGTTAAGCTAAGCTAGCCCCTTAACTATATAAAAGCACATGCTTACTTACAGGCTGCTAAAAAAATGAGCAAATAATTATGCTTGTGTTTGGAATAGATTTATATAAACTACTTCACTAACAAGTAGGGAGTTTTCAATATTTTTCTTTTTAAAATTTAATTTTGTAAATAATAAGTGTTGTGAAAATCTATAAAATAAGGTATTTTCTCAAAAGAATATCGATCCAAAGAGAAAAGAAATATCCTTTAATTTATTAAGGATTTCTTTTCATTTGGCGATCATATGAGATGAATACATACTGAGCCTGAAGGAGAGAACCAAGTTGAAGAATACGAAATGAAGACTAAAAGAAAAATGCCTTATTTTAAGATTTGCACCACTTCGTAGGAGTATAATCTAGGTTATTGCTGGCGGAGCCTGTCCACATTTACTTTCAGTAGACCTTATGTTGCAAGAAGTGGCACTTATTACACGAATTTTTAATATCTTATATTTTTTATGATTGTTTAAATTAATTGTATAGTATAAATTGTATGTTTTTATAAGTTTATTACTTACATGTATTTAAACATGAATTTTGTTAGGCCTTAAGGAATAAAAATTCTTCTACTCATAATTTAAAAATAAAATTCTTGGAGTAAATAATATAGAAAGATATTCGCTCTTAGAAGGTAAATTGGAGGTTGTCTGGGGTCGTATGCATACTCATATTGCTATCCTTAATTTAGACATTTCCCCGCCCGAGGGAAGAGTTCAAATAATATGAACTATAAGGATGAGGTGCTAAACTTAGGGAAGCCTAGTCTTCTAAAATATTATTTTTCTAATCCACTTATTAAATATCTCAAGGATCCATAATTTGTGGTACTTCAACTAGCATGTATTTTTTCTTAGTAGGATTTTCTATTACCTGTCATTAGAACAGTTTAACACTTTTTAAATTAAGCTTAATTTTGATGTATTTACTATAATGCATCAATAATGAATGTGTATATGTCGTTGTTATTATTGTAGTACTATGATAATATGGTGTATGTGTAAAAGACAAGTAAAGAATGGTTGACCCATTAATTAGAGATTGACTAACCTCTACAAGTTGGTGGGCTAATGTGCTTTCCTTTAAGTATATGATTTGATTTTATCCTCAATTAATTTATATGATATTGATTGAGAGTTATAAAAAGATGATTATTATGCCGATGGGCAAAGAGTGATGACTCTGTTTAATGAGCCAACAATTTAATGATACTAATGCAATATTGAAAAAATACTGCTTAAACT